GAAAGAGAGTGAAGGGAGCTTTTTGGTGATGTCAGAGAATGCTCTATGTTCATGACTCTGGCAATAATGTCAATGTTCACATAATGTCCAAGGGGATCCCTTTCCTAGAGATGAAAATAAAAGAACTGGAGGAGGAAATCATCTTGCCTATTCTCTAGCTTACCAGGAAAATTATTAAGTCACTTTGGGAACAATAAAAGATCTAGGAGAAATCAAAGGAAAAAGCGTGACTAAGCAGAGGGGAATTCTAATCTGTCCTGGAAGGTACCTGGAGGGTGCAAGTATATGGTACAGAGAAAAAAGAGAAGATGGATCACCACTGTTATATACAGTTATGTAATAGGTATAAGACATTTACTACAATACTCAGGTTGTCTCAGGGAGCTGGATTATCTCAGAAAGGAGCAACTTTTTATGCTCCAAGGCATGATAATACAGTATATAAATGTTAACTACTATTGTTGTTGCTGAAATGATGCATTTATTTTGAAAATACTGTGCCTTATGCCTGCTTTCACGTTGTTTTAGCAAGTTGTCAGTGATAACATAAGAAAGCAATTCTTAAGTATGTCAGCAAATTTAAGAAGTATTTTCCCAAATGTCATTAATTGCCTACTTAGTGAGTGAGAAAGCAAAACTTTCAAATGTTTATTTTATTTTTTGAGATACTGACAGACATTTTAAGCCATCTGGCATTGAAAACTCATATGCAGCTCTAAAATCTACAAAAATCTGAGAAAATTCACTTTAACAAATATTCATTGGGTAGGTATTCACCATCACTCATGGTCTTGCGTAGGACTAAAAGAAAGAGTATAAGAAACAGTTCCTGATCACAAGTTGTGCACAATTGAATTAGCAAGGCTAGATATTGTATATAAACATGGAAAAGGAAACAATGTTAGACAGAATAAGAGAAAATATTTCATCTCATCTCATCAGACTTTTCCTATAGTCATGTTTAGTTGTGGATACCTTGGTTTAAGAGGGACACTGATAAGCTTGAAAGTGTCCAGAAGGGTAAAGAAGAAGGTGACTAGCTGTGAGCCCATGTCACATGAAGAACAATTGAAGGAATTAGGAATATTGAAAGTGGAGAAAAGAAGTCTTGGTGGGGTGGGGACATGATAGTTGTCTTCAATTACTTGAAAGGCTGTCATGGGGAGAAGTGATTATATTTGTTGTTCTCTTTGGTTCCAGAAGTTAAGAACATGGTGCTATGGGTAGATTTGGCAAAGAGGTAAATTTGGGCTTACTGTTAGGAAAAACTTCCTAACAATTAGAGTTGCCTAAAATTGGAATGGGCTGCCTCAAGAAGTGGTGAGCTCTGTCTCCTTGGAGGTCTTCAAGTAGCTCCTGGATCACCACTTGTTGGGTATATTATGGCAGTGATTCTATTTATAAATGAGTTGGAATAGATGGCAACACAGTAGCTACTATTATTATCAGGGGTCATGGAGGAAGTTTAACCAGACAGAAGATCTGGGAATGATTCTGTTATGTCTTGATTTTAAAAGAAGAATGGAAAAAGAAAAGAAGAAAAATATATTGGGGAGCAATGAAAAGGTTAGAGAAAATTAATGTAATTGGGGTGCATGAGTAAAAGTCTATACAAAGAAGAAGGGGTTAGAGGTGCAATTGACACTTGAACCTCCCTCTCACTGAACTGGTCAAAGAAGGGAAGAATATACACACATATACACATGTGGTTTGAGATAAATAGATTTCAATCAAAATGGAAATTTGAGAGAAAAGGAAGTAGGGAAGGGGGAACTGGAGGAAGAATAAATTAAGGTAGGGATAAGTCTAAAGAAAAATAAATTCTACGTAAGGATGGGCAAAAATATTTATATTGGTTTCTGAGGATGAATAATGGAAATCAGAGGGGGTGCACAGCCATTAGGAAATGACTAACCAAGTTATGGAATATAAATATGATGGAATACTGTAAGAAATGATGAAGGGGATGATTTGAGAGAAACCTGGGAAGGCTTATGTGAACTGATGTATAGTTAAGTGAACAGAACCAGGTGAATAATTTGTAGAATTATAATAATATTGTAAAGACAAACATCTCTCAAAGACTTAGAACTCTTAATAGTGTAAAGATCAACCACAATTCTAGAGAAATAATGATGAAATGTGTTACCCACTTCCTGATAGGTAAAAGACATGGAGTGTATAATTGCATACACACATGTATGCACAAATATGAAAGGATATATATAAAACCGGATATATTTTAAAGCAACAAATCTACACATACATACATACATACATACATACATTGTTTTGAGCATGGCCAATACACAAATTTGTTTTGCTTGGAAGGGGAGGAGAGGAAGGTAAGGTAGATTTTTGTTGATTGAAAAAAATTTGCTTAAATAAAAAAATATGTAAAGAAATCTTAAAGATCATCCAGTCCAATTCCCTCATTCTACAGAGAGGGAAACTGAAATCCAGAAAAGTTAAAGGATTTTTCTGAAGCCTTACAGATAGGAAGTGGCAGGACAGAAATATAAACCCATGTCTTACAACTTGAAACTCAGGTTCCTTTCTGCTGTGGCACACTGCATCCAATATTCAAACACATTTGCTTGAATCTCTTTCAGTTAGAGTCCCTGGCAACCAATTAGTACCACTACTACTACTACTACTACTACTACTACTACTACTACTACTACTACTACTACAACTACTACTACTGCTGCTGCTGCTGCTGCTGCTGCTGCTGCTATTGCCCTTACTAAGGTTACTGGCCCCCTGAATTTGTCCTTTTGAGTTGCCATATTCTCCAGAAACATTGGATCTCGAATATGCAAAAGACCCTCAACATGTCAAGAACAAACATTCCGCCCCCTCCTCCACCCCCTGACCACCCCTACCCCTACCCTAGCTGACATAATTTGTGGTTTGGGCTCCTTGTGTGTTCTTGGATGTCAAGACAGGTGCCAGTCAATTTTTCCCAGTCTAGTGACTGGGAAACTGTGCAGATAGGATCTTTGTAGATAAGCAGATCCTCCTATCTTCATAGCAGTTCCCAAGGGAAAAAAATGCTGTTTTTTTCCATCTTAATTATTCATGATTTCTCCTTCCCTGCCACTCCCAATTGGATGGAGATTTCTATTACCCCTCCTCTTCGTGGCAATTTCATAAATATGCAAGCTTCTGTTTGAATTATTAACTGTATGTACTTGCTTAGGGTTCCACATGCCCGTTCATTTCTCTTGTAATAAATCTAGTTGTAGTGCAATGTCTCATGGACTTGTGAGGTTGTTTTTGGTTGACACTATTTGCCAGGCACTGTGCTAAGCACCTTACAAATATTATTTTATTTAATCATTACAACAACCCTGGCAAGTAGGTGTTATTATTTTCTCCATTTTACAGGTGAGAAAATTGAGGGAAATGGAGGTTAAATGACTTGCCCAGGGTCACACAGCTAGTCTGAGGCTAGATTAGAATTCTAGTCTTCTTGGGGCAACTAGGGCAGCTAGGCGGCACAATGGAAAGAGTCAGGAAGACTCATCTTCCTGAGTTCACATCTGGTCTCAGGCATTTAACAAGTGACATTCACTTAGTGTGACCCTGGGCAAGTCAATTAACTGTGTTTGCCTCAGTTTCCTCATCTGTAAAATGAGCTGGAGAAGGAAATGGCAAATTACTCTAGTATCTTTGCAAATAAAACCCAAATGGGGTCATGAAGAGTTGGACATGACTGAAAGGACTGACCAACAACAATTTCCTGACTCCAGGCCCAGTGCATACACTGGGCCACCTAGCTGTCTATTTTGTACTTGTCATTGTCTTTTTATGGGATCATAAGGTCATAGGTCTAGAGCTGGATAGGATTTCTGAGCCTCTTTAGTCCAAATAGTCCAAACCCTTGTTTTACCTGTAGGGAAACTGAGTCTGAGGGAGATTAGATGACTCGTTCAGAGATTAACCTTTACTTTTTATGAGTAACGCTATTTTGGATGGAAACCCTTTTCCTTTGATAAAACTTCATCTAAGTCAAGAGGGGGAAGAAGGGAGACCAATAAAGTATGTTTTCAGTGATCTAGTTATAAAGTGATGAGACCTAGGACTAGACTGAGAACTTAAAATATTTTTTGATTACTGTCTAATTGGTTTCCTTTACAATCCTATGTGTTTTATTTTGTGTATTTAAAAATATCTATCTGAGAAAGCACTCTGAAAATTCACCAGATTATCAAAGGTGTTCATGAAACAAAAGGGTTAATAATCCCTGGGCTAGATATTACCTTTGATTGGAGAGTAATAGACACATATAACAATCTGCTTTTGTCAGCCCATTTGAGCTGGCTCCAGCACACTGCTTCTTAAATGTGTACATATTGTTTCCCAACAGTAGAATGTAAGCTCTTTGATGGTAACAGGGACTACTTGTTTTTTCTTTATATCCTGAATACTTAGCATAGTACCTGGCTATATACTATATATAGCATATGGTATTATTTTAGTATTGTCTTTGTACCACCAATGCCTAGAACAGGCTTTTAATAAATGCTTATTGATTGACCTTGTTAAGTAATACCCACAAATAGCTTGTGTGTTCGTTGTATTTTCTAACTTGTATCAACAATGGGAAATCTAGCACATTTTCTAGGCCCGTTAGAATCAAATGAAATAATATACAAAATATACAAAAATAATTTTGTAAATCTTGAAGTGATATGTAAATGCTAGCTAATATTTAGGAGAAGGATGGCTTTCCATGCAGTTATTATTACAAGAAAATTACAACTGAAATTTTGACTCCAGAAAATTATCATATTTTTCTATCTCCCAAGATCAATATTTTCAGTAGACCTTCGCCAAGTCACTAGTAACTTAACGATATCAAAACATACTGAAACTCTCCATTTTTTCCCCTAGAATTTTAATGGTATGCTGACACTTCTCTATTTTCCTCTCTTTTTAGATCTGACAGAGTTAAAACTAAGTCATGCTCTAAATCAATTACAGGCTGAGTGAGACAGAAGACAGTAAAATTTCATGCTGATACGTTGTAAGCAGAAAGTAGCAGACTGAACTTCATTGTGGACAGATGTAAGGTAATACAAGTAATGAAAAAGAATCCTAATTATTGTACTCAGAATATGGCAGATTGCATAGGCAGTTCTTTGAAAATTTTGGTCTAAATGTGATGAGAAAACTGAAAAGGACCACCGAATAAACATCATCAGGGTTTTGGAAGCAAAACAAACAGACCATTCTACTTCATTATAAAGCAGGAATCTTTGCTCTTGAAATTCTCCAGGAAGTCATCATGATGACTCTCCAAAAGAGACAGAACAGAGAAAAGGAAAGCCCAGAAAAGGACAATTAAAATGATCAAAATAATGGAGGATCCTCTGGACAATAATACACTAAAAATAGGAGACAAACCTAAGAGGGTAAACAATATTAAAAATTAATACAAATAATAGAGGATAAAGAGAGACAACATGATGCAGTGGAGAGAGACACTGAACTTGGGTTCAAGTCTCACCTCTGACACATACTTTCTATGTGACCCTGAACAAATCACTTTACTTCTCAATGAGTCTAAAACTATAATTTTCAGAGAAGGTGCCAATCTGCATTGGAAAAGGATTTTTTCCATATGCGCAGTTGTGTACACAAATGAAACAATATATCCAGTTGCTATCCTTTAATAAAGGATATCAATAATGTAAGTGGAAACATTGTCACCGAAATCTGTAAAGCTAGTATTATAGTACACTTCTAAAGCTTTAAAAAGGAACTTTTGGGACAAGCAAAAGAAGATCATCATACTACAATGGGTAGTAATCTTATTGAATCCATTACTCAAGTATGAGAGCATGAATAAATTCAAGAATGATTTGGAAAAATTCAATATGATAGAAACATTAAAATTTTAAGGGAATCCAAAGCTTTGTGGTGAGCCTCCCTAGGCTATTGAAATGAGTATCAATCCCTGGCAAAGAGGCATTTTGATAACATTTGTCTTTGATAACATTGTCTGAGACTGAACAGTGAAATGGATAGAACATGGATCCACCAGTGCTGATTCTTGTGGAACTGCCAAGCTCAATACATTGAAAGGCATGTGATTTTGGAATAGATGTACCATTGGTTATAGTAATTTTTAACTAAAGGAAAATATTGGCAAATGAGACTTACTTTTAAAAAATATCCATTATGTAGGAGGCAATCAACTGTTAGCATTTTAGTTGTTTGAAAATACAAAGCCAAATCACTGATCCTTGGTAGTAGACTAGGCTTGCATAAATCCTTGAAAAAGAACCTTTTGAAGACAGCATAGATTCTTAAACCATGCAAAAAGAGTCCAGGCCCACCAAATTTGGTATTTTCTCTCTGGTACCCAAAAAAATTTCAGAAACTATGACCATAAAAGCTCAGAGAAATTAATATTGTCTTGAAAGTGAACAATACAGTCCATCTCTTGGCTTCAGGCATTTGCTTTGGCTGTCCCCCATGCCTGGAATGCTCTCTGTCCTTAACTCTGCATACTGATTTCCTTGGCTTCAAGTCTCAACTAAACTCCCATCTTTAACGGGAGTCTTTTGCAAACCCTTTTAATTCTGATGCCTTCCTTCTTTAGATTATTTCCTATTCATCCTCTATATAGTTTGTTTGTATATATTTGTTTGCATATCCTCTCCCCCATTGTGAGCTTCTTGAGGGCATGGACTGTCTTTTGGCACTTTTTGTATCCCTAGTACTTAGCACAGTGCCTGACATTTAATGAATGTTGATTGATTGAGGGGGCTATCCTTTTGAGTTGATAATACAACACTGAAAGAAAGTAGACTTGTTTGTGATTTAATCTCTGCTGAAGGAAGTTAATAGAAAGAAGTAGGTATATTTTGAGTTGCATTCTAATGTATATCCAAAAAATCCTTGTTTTCAGGAGACTGAGATGGCTGAGAATATCACTTTGACAACTGAGTTTATCCTCACTGGATTTACAAGGCACCAAGAACTGCAGATTCTTCTATTCATACTTTTCCTTATAATCTACCTGATAACCATAATAGGCAACATTGGACTGATGATATTAATTTCAATTGAACCCCGACTCCACTCACCTATGTATTTGTTTCTTGGTAACTTGGCATTTATGGATGCTTTTAGCTCATGTGCTGTTACTCCTAAGATGTTAAGGAACTTCTTTTCTAAGGATAGAATGATTTCCCTTCATCAATGTATGGCACAATTTTATTTTCTTTGCTTTTCTGAAACTTCGGACTGTTTTCTCCTGGCAGCCATGGCATATGACCGCTATGTGGCGATATGTAATCCACTTCATTATCCTATCATTATGTCAAAGAAACTCTGCATTCAGATGATCACTGGATCACTCATAGCTGGCAATCTACATTCCATGATTCATGTTGGCTTTCTATTCAGATTAACTTTCTGTAAATCGCGCCAAATCAATCATTTTTTTTGTGATGTTCTTCCTTTATACCGACTCTCTTGTACAGACCCTTATATTAATGAATTGATGATATTCATCTTCTCAGGCTCAATTCAAGTCTTCACTATAGGTGTTGTCTTACTGTCTTATCTTTACATCCTTTTTACTATCTTTAAGATGAAATCAAAGGAGGGACAAGGCAAAGCCTTTTCCACTTGTGCATCCCATTTTATATCTGTCTTAATATTCTATGGTTCTCTTCTCATCATGTATATTCGACCAGGTGCAGTTAATGAAGGAGCTATAGACATATCCGTTGCTATTTTTTATACAATAATAATTCCCTTTTTAAACCCTTTTATTTATAGCCTGAGAAACAAGGAAGTAGTCAATGTCCCGAGAAAAATTATGGAGAAAAAAATCTCAGGGGTGTTTGCAACAAAATTTGTACATTGAGGTTCCTGGGTTTGAATGTGGTTAAGCTTGACCAAGTCTGTTAGAAAAGTATAAAGTCTAATTGAGAAATTAATTAATGAATACAGAAATTGGGAACTAGGGGACTATTATTATTTTAATTTCAAGTTCATAAAACAAGATTATTTTCAGAATGGATTGTGTCAGAGAGTTAGTCATCACAAAATTCAAGAAGTCAACATACCACCAGAGGTAAATGTGGAAAAGAAGAATCTATTGAACATTATCCATAATACCACTATACCACTTCAGTAGGAAGTATAAAGGAAGATGTGTCAGCATTGGGGAATAGTAGCTGATTGTGTACAAAGTCTTTCTCTTTCTTTGTGTTTTCATTTCAAGTCCCTAGAGTATAAGATGTATGATAGGAATATAAAATAAATGATTACTAGAAAAATGCAACCAGATTAAGTAAAACACACAAACAAAACCCCCCCAAACAAACACACTCCCCTCCAAAACTTCTCAAAAATAGCCTTAACATTCAATGAATTCAACATGCTCACTCCTTGCTTAGAGAAGGCTCTTTTGCAGCACTGTTTGATTCTGAACTTGAAGTTTTCTGAAATGATTGCTTTGGAAAGTGGATTTATACAGAAAGCACTTATTACTTCATGAAAGTCGTGCCAAACCTTGTTGTTCTATAGTGGCAGTTGCCACACAAATATCATTAAACCATTATTAGCAAATTAATCTGTAGTGACAATTCATCACGCTTGCTTAAATGATACTGTTTGTATTGAAAATGTTATTTCTTCATACATTTTTACATGAACTAAGTGAATTGCTAATGAAGTAAGATAAAGCTATTCTTGAATTAGTCAAAAAGTTAAAGAAATATTTTCCCCAAATGGTGTTATCTGTCCACTTGATGAATAAAAAAGTAAAACTGTGTAACCTCTTTGAATCCAGGCTAAATTATTTTATTTATGGACTTATTGACAGCTTAAGATACTAACTTCATATTAAAACTTCATTTACAGCAGTAGCTATAAATTTGTAGTAATTACCTCAGAAGCTTCGATCCAACAAATATTCCTGTTTTACTACTGTTCCTACTGCTGCAGGGAATGCAAAAAATACCCTAAAGACATAGTTTCTGCCCTGAAATGACTACCAGTCAAAATGTCACAGCAAGGGAAATGCGAACAAAAAAGAGAACAGAGCTAAACAGTATACAGTATGATGAAATGCTAGATTGTGTGGTTCAGACATTTTATAGGAATTCAAAGGAGAAAGAAATCCATGAGTGCAAGTGTAATTACGGGGGACGTTATAAAAGGGATTGACTCAGGTCTTGAAAAATGAGTAGGATTTGGATAGGGACGACTGAAGGAAGTATTTCAAGCAAGGATAACAGACTAAGCAAAGGAATGAGAAACAGTTGTGAACAAGCTTTGTGAGCACACTGAGGAGAAGCTTGATTGGAGTAGAGGTATGTGCTGGGGAGCAATGAGTTTGGTTAAGTAAGGTAGGCCAGTTAATTGAGGACCCTGATTGCTTGGCTGAGGAACTTAGACTTTATCCTATAGATGGCAGGGAGCTACTGAAGTTTATTGAGTAGTGCTGTACAATGGGAAAGCAACAACAACAATAAAAATAATGTTTTAGAAAAGTTAATTTGGTGGCAGAGTAGATGATGCTCTAAAGCGATGGATTCCAGTGTAGATGCTTTTGTAGTAATCTTGTCATGAGATAGTGAGAACTAGGACAAGATAGTGTGATAGAAGAATATGGGACTGCTTTTGGAAGAAAAATGGACAACAAATGCTGTCTAATCTGATACAGGGAATAGTGGCATTGAAAAAAATGAGATTCTTTAGAAGAAAGTTTTCTTTTTCTGAGAAGCTGATTTCATTCATACATCCACTCAGTTTAAGACATATTTATTTTTTAGTGACAGTATTCCAGGGGAAAATGTTCAATTGACATTTGGAGATTAGAGTCTGGAACTTGAGTGAGAAGTTGGAATTTGCAATGACAATGGGTAAGTAAGTCACTCAATTGAAAGTCTCAGTTGCACTAAGAAAAATGAGTAAGTTCTGCAAAGGAGAAAGGAGAGAGCCAGGAACAGAAAGCAATAAACTGTGGCCTCAGAAATGGCCACAGTCAGAGAACAGGAGAATAAATAAGAGTCACTGAAGGGGATTGTTTGTTACAGTCCAAAGACGACTGAAACAGGAGATAATAATCCTAGGTTTTCATTCTACTTTAGCCATTAATAAACTATGTGACCTTGGGAATGTAATCTTAACTCTACTTTCTTCATTAACTAAAGAAAAATAGAGTTGACCATAAAACAGTTAAAATTCCTTTAAGCTTTAATATTCTATGTTCTAGTTGTTGCACAGAAATGAATGGTGAGAAAATGGAGCAGCAGAGAGAGAATTTTTGTTTCAATATATTTGGAAGTGAAAAGAAGAGGAAAAAATGCAATAAGATTAAGCAGCAAGGTCAAACAAAGGATTTTTATTCAAAATAAGGAAGGTAACTGAATATCTGAAGTTCAAGATGGATGGTGGGAATGGATCAATGTACAAACATTTCTTAAGTTTCTATCATGTTCTATCATGTTATAAGGATACATGGATGTATCCTAATGAGAGTACACACACACATCATATATTCACATATAAATACACACATGTATACATGTGCACGTATAATATACATACATACACACGTACATATATGTACATACAATGTTGTGTATGCATGTGTTATATATACACATATTATATGTATACTGCTGTGCATGCTATGGCTTTTTGGAGCCACAGGTGAGAGCTGGGTGACAGGTAGACACCAAAGATAAATGAACAGCCCTGAAAAGCACTTGGCAAGTCCTTGCACTAGAGGTACTAGTCCTCCTGGCCATACCCTGGTAAAACCATATGGGCAAACTGGCTGAAGCAGGTGGAGGGTAAGCCACAGGCCTCAAACCCATCAGATTGTTAAGGGGAATGTCTGACCCAAGCTTGTGGACACTTCCCCTGGCACAATGGGAACAATGTGTAGATGAGAACAATTTGTTCCAATGGCCATGAAGACGGCTGAAGTAGGTGCTGTGGAGTGCCTACAGCTTGGTCAGACATCAAAGATGCTAAGGTCATCCACTGCATCCAAGGTTATTACCAGTTACCTTTTGTTTTGCCACTGGACTTTGATGACTCAGGAAGATAGAGTGAGGCTGATGACTTCGCCTCACTTAAATCCAATTCGTACATAAGTCAAGACATTACTCATGTCCTCTTCAAAAATGAAGGAAGAATAACATGTGTATACATGTATATTTATGTGTGTATATATGTTGCCCAGAAACATTTTTATTATACACACATACTGTACGTGCGCACCCACACATATATATGTTTACATATATTTATAAACATACATAGACATACATTTGCATATCTAAAACCATACCTATGTTTTCATCAGGGTATGGAACTCCTGGATGGGGAAACTCCTTCTACTAATGCATCTTGGTACCTTCTCTTCAACTTATAGTTTGAAAGCATTGCCTAAGAAGTTATTTGCCAAAGGTCATATAGCCAATATGTATCAGAGGCAGAACTTGAATTCAGGTCTTCCTAATTCCAAGATTGGCTCTTTATCCACTGGGTCACACTGCCTCTCCAAATAAATATATACAGAACAAATACAAAATTAATGCAAGATAGTTTAAGAGAGCACCATCTGCTGGTGGGATCAGGAAGGACTTCATATAGAAAGTGAATTGACCATCTGACTCCCTTATTTGACCAACTCCAGTGACTTCCTGTTGCCTTTAGGATAACATATTAACTCCCCTATTTAGCTTTTAAGGCCGTGCACAACCTGAGTCCAATCTACCTTTTCAGCCTTGTTGGGACATTATTTCTCCTCTTGCAGGCTACAATCAAACTGACCATCTCTTTGGTCTTCACCCATTACACTCTACTTTGTTCCATGCTTTTGCACTGGCTGTTCTTCATCCCTAAAATACCCTCCCTCCTAACCTCCACTTCATCAAGTCTTACTCTTACTTTCAGATGCAACTCAGACACTATCTTTTGCATAAAATCTTTCCTGATCCCCCTAACTGCTGTACCCTCCCTCTCAAACTGCCTTCTTTAGCTACTTTTATATATTTGTATTTATTAACTTTATACTGTATATGTGTTTATATTTTCCTGTTGTCTCCCCCATTAGAATGCAAGCTCATTTTGAGTGGTTTGTTCATTCTTTGTACTTGCAGGTTTTCCTCACTCTTCCTCAGTCCCCAGCACCTAGTGCCAGACACACAGTAGGTGTAATAATTGTTGATTGATTGGAGGTAGCACTTGAAATGAGTTTTGAAGGAAAATAATGTGAGAGTCAGGAGGTAGAGTATTCCAGTCAAGGAATACTTGCAATGGCACAGAGATGAGAAATGTTTTCTTGCATATTAGGAACCTCAAGGAGGTCAAAATTAAACATCTTGGAGAGGGAAAAGATAAATAAGAGGGATGTGTCCTTTAGGATTCAGAACAGGATCAGATTACACAGCACAAAGTGGTTGGCAAACTATGGTCCAGGGACCAAGTCCAGCCTACTGCCTGGTTTGTACTGCCCACAAGCAAAGGATAATTCATGGGCTATAAAAAAATAGAGGATGACGGGCTGAATTTGGTTCCTGGGTCATAGTTTGCCAACCTCAGCTTTAGATGACTGCCAGATGGGGGTGAATTTGCTTACGAGATTTATTATATGCCACATTAAAATTCATGCCTAGAGACTGTAACTAAGGCAGTTCTTTTAAATTCATTTCTATTTACAGACACTTGCTGTTTTAGATAGTGAGGGGGTGGCACAGTGCTTTCTGCATGGTAGATGCTCACTAAACATGATGGATGAATGAAAGACAAATGTCCTAATGAGGACAATACTCAGCATTTGTAAGTTTAGACAAAAAGGTAAAAGCTAGATATATTACAGAAAAAAGACAACTAGTTATCCTTAGGATATACTTAACCTGATTCTTCCTAGAAGCCATTTCTCTCCTCTTTCTCACCCAAATCCCAGTACCTACTTAGTGGACATGACTAAAGACTAATGAGACAATATTTGGGTTAGGGTAGGGAAGATTTATGAGATGTCTCCTCATTCTCGAGGGTTAACCTGTACAAATTCTGATTCTCTTGAGTTAGATACAAACAGAGGGGATGACATTTTGCAGAGGGAGTAAGCAGTGGAATGTAATGGAAGGTAGGTCATAATTGGAGGATGAGAGTAGAGCTTGCTCAAATCTGTTCTGTTTCTTTGTATTCCCATCTCAAGTCTTGAGAGTATTAGATCAGTTATGGTGATGCTAAATAAAGTTTGCTAAAACAAAATGTAATTAGTTCCATCAAAGACGGCAGCATGAAAGTCTTAGTGAAACCTAGCTTTCTCTAAAGGGGTTTTTAGCCTGTGGACCATTAATTTACTTTTTTTAACTTGATAATTGCATTTCAATAAAATCAGTTTCCTTTGTATTTCTATATATTTTGTTTTATGCATTTAGAAATATTATTCTTTGAAGAGGCCTATAGGCTTCACTAGACTGTCAAAAAGTTAAGAATTCCTGTTCTAGGACATTTATAAGCAATGGGAAATAGTGTAAAAGGAATCAGAGAAGCAATAAACAGGGTAAATGAACTAAAAGGAGATAATGCTTACTGAAAGAGAGAGAGAGAGAGAGAGAGAGAGAGA